AATCGTTAGAAAAAACTGAATCCATCATTTTGAAAAGCAAGTATGTATATATATAATAAAATATATATTTTACAACTATACATACGAGTATATATTATAACATAATAATAAAATTTTTACTTATTTTAAAACATCAAGTTCCAATATTGGCTTGGGAGACGATTCAATACTTTTTGGTTTTACTTTTTCCTTTTCAACAACACAACCTCCTTCTACGACGGTTTGAGTACGACTAATGACTATAAATTTTGGCACTCTTATTTATAGATTAATGACAATATTAACAGTACGCCGTGGATATGGACCAATTTTTTTTTAACAAATTCGATGTTGACTTAATTCCATATCCATAACACAACATAAAAGAAAACTTTTTTTGTAACACATGGAACAATTTAAAATTAACGTATAAAAGCATTCTATCTTGTTCCATGTAGCTCACTCATGGAAATGGATCAAATTAACTTTAAGGAAGTTTTTTTCAAAAAATGCATAAATATCTTGTTCCATACGCCACAAATTTGGATTCCACCAAATGGTGAACGCAAACTAGTAAAAATGGTGGACGTGGAACAAAATCGATACTAGGCTTCTAGAGAACTAATAGAGATAATCAAAAACGGGTAAGAGATTCTGAAAGAGCGTGCTTCAAAACCGTAGGATCAACTTCTAACTCAAAATATGCAAAAATGGCGTAAGGAACAAACTAATATTTAGGTGACGAATTTTTAATTATAAGCCTCTGTTTTCTATAAAAATTACTTCTTGTAAGAATTTTGGGACACCCTTTAGATCCTGCTTGAAATCTTTCACATTTTGTGAATATGATACACTAAAATTACCTCCAAATTCTAAAAGTATATCTTCATAATCAATGTCTTATGATGATAAAGACGACATTGATACTAATGTTTCTTCATGCCACAAATTCTTCATATTCAATATTTTTATTTTCTGACACTATTTTATCTTGAAATTCTCAATCGTTAGTGCTATTTCTGCTACAGTAAGGCTTTTTAGGTATTCATTGTTAACTAGTTCTTACGATTTTGGGTCTTTCTTTTCCTTCTTCTTTATCTGAAACTTCATTCGATAATATAACATTTTTATTCTCACCGCACCTTATTCTTTCTGATTCATCATTTTTCATCTTTTTGCAACTCTTTTTTCGTAGCCTTTTTAAATAACTCATATGCTTTTGCTTCCTTACTGTAGATAACAAAATGTAAAAATTTAAATCTTGCATCAAATTTACTTTCAAATTAACCATTTCTCTTAAATGCACTTAAAATCAATTCGCTATTTCTATTAATTATTTCAACTTGTAAACTTTGTAAAAGATTACTCTATGATTGAAATTAAATCTGTACGAAGATCGGGTACTAATAACGTATCGTTTAATCTTATCTATTAATCTTATCTATTCATTTATCTATTTCATCATATTATCCATTTTTAAATTTATTTTAATCCTTTCCCAACAATATTGTTGTATAACGGTTTGCCAAATTAATTACTGTTTTATTCTCTTCTACTGTTTGAGAAGAAGTGCGTATGTGCGTATGTGCGTATGTAGCGCACGAAATATATTAGCGAAAAAAAAAAAAAAAGTATTTTATTCCGAAAAAAAGGAAGTTTTCTTTTCACACCAATAAAAAAAAAAAAGAATTATATTTCGGAAAAATTATCAACCATTGAAAAAAAAAACTTTTTGAATACTGTTTTATGTTTATTTAATTAAAAAGTAAATATTTATCGGTGATCCCATGCAAAACTATGTCAAGTCAACCTAGATTTTTAACGGAGATTATCTTAATTGAAAGACTATACAACACAACTATACCTTTTTGAGTCATCCGCTTTTTAGAAATAATTTTTTTTAGAAAGCATATGCCATTTTAAGGTCCCCAGTTTTTATATATATTTGTATTATGTTTTTTTTTCGAATGTATGCTAACTTAGCTTACCACAATAGAAATCAATTATTGTTGAAACCTAATGTATCTAGCTAATAAAGAATTTTTGTATGTTAGCGTTCTCTGGCTTCCATATTGTAAAACAAAACGTTTTCGGTGCAATATTTTATGTTTTATATTGTATTTCAAAAACTTTTCACGATGTAGTAAGTTCAAAATTGTTTGGAAGCCGTTTGAGTTATCCAGAAAAAAGCAGAGAGAAAAATTTCACGATGCTACTATAAATTTTGTTTAAGCCCACGAAACCAAAATAATGAATATCTTTCTGTTGGTTAAATATTCAACCATTATTTACACATTATTTTGTAATGTAAAAAAGCTAAAAACTCAAATTTAATGGAGATTTAAAAAAAGGTTTAAAACCTATTTTTTTACAAAGTGGAAGTCACCTGTTTAAATGTCAATCAAGGATTGACAACCATGATTGAGTCTGATGAAGATTGACTGTGTAAACATCGACAATCAAAAATTTTCTTCAAATTTTCAAAGCTATTTTTATACCCTGCACTCTGTGAAGGGTATATTCATTTTGGTATTTATGAAATTCGGCATGCGTATGTCCAATTTCCGTTCAGATATATTTCTGAAGTTTTGGTGGAATTGCTTGACATGTTCGGGTAGCTGCCATACAACTCCGAAAGTTAATTTTAAATATTTAGAAAAAAAAACTATGACTAGATTCATGAAACTTGGCAGTTATGTGTCCAATTTCAGTTTAAATATATTTCTGAAGTTTTGATGGAATTGCTTGACAGGTTCGGGTAACTACGATACAACTCTGAAAGGTAATTTTAAATATTTGGAAAATATTAAGACTAGATTCAAGAAACTCGATTCAAAAACAACAAAATATTTCAAAACCAAATGTTTAAACTCTGATTGTCAAAGTGCATGGTATTATTCAGTCGGTTTATACCGACTGAAACGTTTTTAAAGGTAATTTTAAATATTTGGAAAATATTAAGACTAGATTCAAGAAACTCGATTCAAAAACAACAAAATATTTCAAAACCAAATGTTTAAACTCTGATTGTCAAAGTGCATGGTATTATTCAGTCGGTTTATACCGACTGAAACGTTTTTACTTGTTATCAATAACTTTTGACAAAAATAAAATAAAAAATGGGGTAAACATAATTTTCAAAAGAATAAAATGGACTGTAATCAGCTGTTTTAATAGTTTTTTTTTTTTGTTGCGACTCGTTATTTGGTAGTAGAGTAACATATATTCTCATCAATTTTCTTTAATTTCAATAATGATTGCCAATCTTTGGTTGACATTTAAACGCTGCCTAACGGTTAATTTGGACAATAATTACCTATGTGATAATTAGATTTTTTTCATTGAAGTGTGTGTTGAATTACAATGTTGTAAGAAAAGTTTAATTTTAGTTGGTTTGGTATTTCTATTAAGAATTATATGCCAAGTGGATTTGCCCCAATACATAAAATCGAAACTTCTGTCAAAAAAATTCTGATTTATTTTATCCTACTAAACCATACCAAAAGAGAGAGTGACATTTTCCAACTGACTAATTTACACGTATTCTTAAGGAAACTATAGAGGACCTTTTTTAACATTTTAAACCTCCGATAAGATCAAATTTTTTAAATTCCTAGTTGGGAAAAGTTAAAATTCAATCTTTTTCTATTTTACTAATGATAACATTCTTATAATTTTGTGTTATAAAAAATTAAAAAATTAATTTAGAAAATCTTCCCGAATCTATTCATTTTTTTACACTACATACTGTACTTACACTACAGGCAAAAAGAAATAAAACATACATTTGATTTGGTGAAATATTAAGCCGATTTTTATGTTTTTCCTAATTTGAAGAAGTAATATCAAAAGTAGATATAAATATGTTATGTGTTTTATTTAGCTACACAATTTTAATTATATTAATATGTGTCTATATATTTTTCTTTTTATGAATGCACAATTATTTGAAATCACTTAGTCAAAATTAAAAAGCATATTAATAAAATTTTAGTTTAGAAAAACTAAAAGAAAATACAAAATAAAACAAAACTTTACATAATCACATAAGTATCTACACAACTTAAAAAAAATATTACATAATATAAATAATATAATAAAACAGGTAGTTGTTTGCTATAACAATATAATATAAATAATATAATATAACACGTAGATACTTTATAATATTGTTTTCTTTATTCTTCGTAATAAATTTTTTAGTAAAACTATTTAAAATTAAATTAAAATTTAAAAATTTTGCTTTTAGTAAACTACATTTTAAAATGCTTTGCATAAAAATTTTCTTGTTTTTTTTGCATATTATTATATGCAAAATCCAATATTTTTTTATTTACTGTATGAAAAAAGAATTCTACACCTTCGTAAAAAATTCCAGAATGCTTTTTTTTTCAACACTTAGTGACTAAAATTAAGGTTTGAGAAAGCGGCCGAAATTCTGTTAAAAAAAATTTCAAAGTTTCAAAAAATTTTGAACGAAATTACCTGGTAAGAAAAAACTGAAAAAATTAAAAAAGAGAAAAATTTTATTTTTCCTAAAGTTCGAATGATTGGTATTTCGAAAGTACACAAAATACATAATCAAGTAAGGTGTTTATTTTAAGGCCTTTACTACACCTTTCAGAAACTGTTTGTTTGAAGCTCCTATCTTTTTCGGAACGGAAGTTATAATCAGAAAAGCTTATCCTGTATCTCGAAAACCCTTGAGATTTCGCACCTACTCAGGAACAAAAGTTTTACCTATTTTCGACCCTCTATCCAATGATACATGTTGTTATATACCTTTTTTGAATAACCCTGTACTTATTGCTTAACATTTTAAAATAGTGTGCATTTTAAAAAGAGAGAAGGTATGAAGTAGAGAAATCGCTAGAATGAATTTTAATTTGATTTCCATACAGTTGCATGCAATTTGTGAAAAATAATATACTTCATCAAAAAAACAGTTTTTGTTATTGTTATATCAAATAGTTATCACACCTACAACATGAAATAATTCAATTTTTATATTTTTCATACAGAATATGAATTACTAGAGAATACTCCGCTAACACCTCCACCAAGAATATCACCAATGATAAACCATCATTCCCTTCAACAACTGAAAGAACGAAAATTAATGGAGACCAAGGCCTTATTGAGAAATTCAGCGAAGTCGGCTATTCAATTTTCAAAACAACCAAAACCAATTAAAATCGAAATGCAAGATCCAACCCAAGTCGGAAATAAATGTAAACTTTTAGATAATTCTTCATTATCAAGATCAGTGGCAAAATCACTTCGCCAAGAAAAAACAAAAGCCAATGATTTTAAGGGTAGAATTTTTAATTTTAATAATAGATTTGAAGACAAATTTTTATCATACATTAAAAAAAATTCATCTAATATGGAAAATACTTGTAGTCAGTGTAAAGTTCCGTTAAATTTGAACAATGATGATACTTGTGCAAAAGTGAATGAAAAAAGTCAGTATAAATCAAATTTTAAATCTACAGTTAATACCGTTATATTAAAACAAAAAATTTTTTCAAGTCAACATCCCAAAAGTAAAGGCAAAAATATCTTAGCTAAAGAAAGATATTTTCACAACGAAGAACCGATTCTTTCAAACGAAATAAACTCTTCATTTAAGCAAACAGAAAATTCGTCGCTAAAACCACAAACTTATCATGGCAAAAAGTTTTTAGAACAATCTTCAAATAATGCAATATTTGCATTTTATAATATAGTTCCCAGATCTACCAACTCATATCGACATTATAGTAGTATTAGTGATATGTCAGAAGAGGAATTGTCTTTATATGATAGAAATAGTGTTGAATTGAGTTTCGATAGTCATTTATTCCCTTCACCTACAACACAAATTTTTAATAATTCAAAATTGTTAAATAAAAATCAAAGTTCACCCTTGAAAATAGAGTTAAAGAGTGACAATAATGTAAATTTTAAAAGTAATATTGATGCACATGTTAAATGTAATAATAATGAAGACGTTGTCAATCATAATCATGAATTAAAATTAAATGTTGAAACTGAAAATCAGGAAGATATAACGGGGGTTTTAGAACGGTCAACAAGCTCTTTATATTTAGCCGCATTTCTACATACAAACAATGAAAAAAGATCTCCAGTTAAACAATATAATTGTAATATTTCAACTCAGGAAAATCAAAATAATAAAATTGTAACTGGAAAAAAAGAAAATGAACCAAAGAACAATAGTTCAATCGAGAATATGGTTATTCCGCTTAAAAGTTTATGTGAATATAATGAAAATGAAGGAAAAAGTCAAGTTGAAAGTTACGAGAACAGTAACGAACTCAAAACTAACAAAAAAAACCAAAGCTATTTTCATGAAACCAAGACGGACTCATCAACATCCAACTCATCTACAAGTGTTTTATCGTATGCGGCAAGTTTGTGGTCATCTCTTGAAGTTGTTGAATTATTATCGCGATCATCTTCAACCGTACATTTGGGTGCAGACAGTTGGACCGTAATAAAAGATCTCTCCGAAAAAGAGAACTCTGAAAATACTGAAATTTGCAAAAAATGTGGACATAATACCATTACAACACCATCTAATCAGCTATTCGACGTCAAACCAAAACAAAATGATTACTGTAATGAAATAAAGAATATTTACAAAACTAATTCCATAGAATATAAAAATTGCAAAACTAACCGTGAAGATTGCCATAAACAAAGTGTTGTTAGCGAACACACGTTTGAAAGTTGTGGTGTAAATTATGAGGAATCTGCTTGATTGTTACTGATAAATCGAACAAGTACCCTATAACAAAATTTTCATAGAAAATTTAATTAACCGGTTTTTTTCTAAAACAATCTCAATTATTGACTGAAATAAATCAACGACATCTTGCAGTTAAGATTTGTTTCAAATGTTAGCTTTGCATTATATAATTAACTGTCATATGTTATATAGATAGACAATAATTTGTCAATTTGGTCCGTCACAATGAAAAAATCAATAATATTTTATAAATAATTTTTAACAATTCAAAATTATAAAAAAATTAAAGCTATAAATTATAAAAAAATTTTAAAAAACAAAAATTTATCCTATTAAAAATTTGGGTAAAGTTCAAAAGACTAAACATTAAAAATATCAATCAAATTAAGTCAAAATTTTTAAGCAACATCGTACATATCAATATACCCAGCACTCGTCGCGTGAGTGCAATTTTAATCCATAGACCACTTTCGTAATTTTTGACTTAGGACCACAGCCAGGTTTTCAAGGATGAACGTTCAGAATATGCAATCCGTTTTTCGCTATCTCATTGATTTTCTAAATATCCAGACGTTATTTTGATCTACCTCCATTTTTAATTTAATTTGGGACAGATTTTGATTCATTTTTTTGGCAAATGTTTTAGTGCTATAATTTCAGAAGCAATTTTCTCGTTTCAAAAAATCTGTCGTATGGATTCAAATTACCTTTAGTTTACGATATGTATATCTATTTACTAATTAATTACATACTTCCTATATAGAAGCAGAAAGGTGGAAAAACCAAATTCGTTAATTTTGTTTTTATATAGAGTAAAGCGTCCATGGATTAGTTACTTAACTGCTGCGCTAATCAAAAACTTAAACAACAAGCTACATTTATTAAAGTTTCTTATTGAACTACATGTTAAACCATCTTTAACAAAACAAATTAAAAAAATAATGAAGTAAATATTTAAAAAAAGAAATTAATTGAAAACTGTTTAATAACAGCGAACTATTGAAAATTTTTTTTACTTAAGATTTCATTTAAAATAACACACTAGAAAATTAATAAATATTATGTAATATAACTTGTTATAGTATGTAATGTAATTTGCTATGTATTTTAATATTTAAATACTAATAATACATTATTTATACAATTATATTAAGCAAAGATGTATCTTATTATATTTATATTTCCGCATTAAAAATATGTTTCAAGTGTTAATTGTAATCGACATTTTATTAAATATGCAACAAGTTACAAATTATCGAAGAATACGCAACTGTTCTATGTTAAAAACTTTTATTTTTTCTTAAATTAAACAAATATAAAAAAAATTTTATTATAATAAAATCTGAATATAAAGACATTCTATTACATAATTTGTTATTATTGCGATATCATTTACAATTCATTACAAGCTTCTTTGATTTGAAAACATACAAATAATCATGTTTTTTCAGTCAAACGATTTTTGATTTTATAAATAGATGTGACAAAATAGTGCAAAAATGTAAGTATGCTAGCTAATTTTTCATTTTATAAATTTTATAAAAAAACGAACTTTAATTTTAGAGCTTTGAAATTATTTCGAATATAAACTTAAAACTAAAATTTCACACTTGTCTGACTTCCAATTTATTAGCTTATTAAATTTTTACCGACCGTATTGTATAAACAATAGGTAGGTTATGTGATGGCAACAAATTTTGCATATCGAGTTTTCGGTGGGAACGTACTTCTCCATAGTAAGGAAGTGTAAATAAACTATTTTTAGCAACCTGTCGGTCTGTTGGTCTGTCCGTCTGTCGGTCTGTCGGTCTGTCGGTCTGTGTGTGCGCGCGTGTATCTCAAGATCGGCTGAACCGATTTTGATGAAATTTTATATGTAAGTTTGTTTCCACCATGGCACGGATCGATCAACTTTTGGTATATATCAGGCCTCGGGAACTGCACTTTTTAGCGGGCCTGTTTTACATTTTTGAACATTTTGAAGAAAATATTCAACCGATTTACTTGAAATTTTATATATAAGCTCAGCTCGACCGTCCGCAAAAATTCGTATGTTTTGAAAGAAATCAGGCATCGGCAACTAGAAGTTTACTAAGGGCCAAACATACACTTTTGTGTATATAAAAAGAAATAATCAACCGATTTCATTGAAATTTAATATATGAATTCCTCATACTAAAGCAATGAACATATAACTTTTTTGGAAAGATCAGGGCTCGAGAACTGAGTTGCGGGCCGATTTTACATTTTTCACTATATCCACAGAACAAATTGATGGAATTTCTTGAAATTTGATATTTGAGTTCTGGTTGTTACCGAAACTAACTGGCGAGCATTTCAGGGAATTCGGGTAGCACAAAGCGAAACTCTACTAAGAGCCAAATTTACATTTTTCTAAGTATGTTAACTATAAGCTTACTAATGTCCTAAAGATTGGAAAGAAGTATTTAGCAGACATTTTTATAATATTCTGTATCACTTTCATTTAACTAGACAATACACAATGCGGTCGGTTATGTGCTGACCACATCAGATTTTTTTTTAATTTTCTGTAAATTTTTTTGTATTTACGTGTTTAACTTACCTATTAGCTATATGAATTACACAAATGTATATTTTTTTTAAATGTTTGTTTTATACAAATGGTGCAAGATAACGAAATTTAATTTTCAATAATCAAAACGAAAAAATATCCAAATTCATGTTTCTCTATGTACAGAATTCATTTTAACATGCAATTTTGTATTCAAAAGAAAAAATAGTAGTCAACATACCGAATATAGAAGAGATCTTGTTGGAGAAATGACTTAGTCTTAAGAACGATTAAAATATGATCAGGCTATGAAGGTGGTTTCGCTATAGAGCTAAGAAATGTATTTGTATAGAGCTATAGAAATGTATTTTCGCTATAGAGCTTACCGTAATAGGGACTAGCAAGACATTTGTGCAATCATATAATGAAAAATACTGAATTAGCACTTTTGTTTCTTTTAAAGAAAATTCCTACTTTTTGGCGTAAGTGAAACTAAACAATAAACGGTTCTAAAAATATAATATCAATAAACGAACTTTGAAATATTATTTCAAATAAGCTTTGAAATAATATTTCAAAGCTTATTTGAATATAAAAGAAAGTAAAAATTTATTTACTTATGTATATACTTAAATAATTGTACATTATGAAATTTTATTTTTTTAATAGAAAACTCAAACTTTTATTTGCAATTTGTGAAATTTCGCATTTTATACATATTAAAATTTGTGGTTCAAAAATTAAGCAGTTAAGTATAGGTTTTTATATTTTTCATTATATTTTTTACCTACATGAGCTTATGAAAAAATGTGGTTTTGAAATTTCGAAATGTGGTTGACTGTTTTAATTTTGGAGACAAAAGAATGAAATAAATTATGTACTATTTCATTTTACTGTTACTTTTTGGACACATTTTTAACTATTTTAATTATATATTATGTTGATTATTAAACAACATTTTTTCAATTCAACATAAGTAGTAGATATTATAATTTCTATTTAATTTTGTAACTGATAACATTCTCTACAAAAAACGAAAGCAAAACATAGTAGTAGAAATTCATAACTATCACGTTATTTTTAATTTTATTCAAAATTTTTTGTTATTAAACAAAAAAAATATTGGTATAGACATCTCAATTCTCCATACCAGAACTATACGTTATTATTCCATTATTAATGTCTCTATATCTAACAAGTCCCAATGCTAAGAGAGAAACTGATAGCACGACCTTATTTTATTTGGGTTTTTTTTAAATCAAAATGACTACTTTTTGGGAAGAATTAACAAAACAAATTCATTTTTATTATAAAGCAGGTAATATTCCGAAAATATATTTAAAAAAATCAACTAAATATAATAATATTTTTATTCACAGTTATTTTAAAATTCTTAACATGCAAAAAAGCGAAAAAACTACAAGCACAACTTCCGCCTTCAACATTTTATTTGGTACTGAGAGCATTTCATTATTTTTAACTGAAGAGCTTTCATTTCTCATAGGGTAAGTTAACTCAAGATATGGGAAGCCGCTGTAGTGTCAAGTAGAAGAATAATTATTAAATATTGATATGAATACATAGTAAAGAAAAAATTTGAAGAGGGAATTAGAAAATAATATTTAACATGCAATTAAATATTATTTTACCAATACAAATTTTATATACACTTCAAAATCTTACCTCTATTTTTATTTGAAAAAAATTTTTAAAACTTTATATATTACCTAAGTAAAAAAATATTTAAAGGGTTTGGAAAAGACAATCGTATATATTTATGACCGGATTTGAATATTTTTTTAATTCTTGTAATGAATAGTATCTCAGCCAATGACTCAAAAATTTCGATTGTAAAAATGACAGGTATTCATGTAAATTTTTGTCTGCTTGTGTTTATTATTAAGATTCATATACAAGCATTTATAAAGAGGCAGGGTCATTTTATAATGAGATTACTCTTGTTTACCTGCTAATAAAATATCAAAGAAGAACAGAAATAAATTTTTGAAGCACTAATTATAACATGTTTGATCTAGTTTTAAAATAATTATGTACAAAAAAAATTGATTGGAAATAGGTACATATATTTATTTTTAATAACTCAAAAACCAATTTAGATTATTTGAAACAATTCTATAAATATAAATAATCGAGACGAGATAATTCAAATTGTTGAAATGTATCACATTATATTACTTTTATTAACTTTTTTGTTAGCCGACACTACGCAACTTACCTGTTGAGAAATAAAAAGTGTACATGAAAAATCATATTCATATTATGAATTGACTAATGCAACATCATAGTTGTGAAATTAATAAGCAATGTGCTATTACACTAATTATTTTAACTTAATGCAAATTTCTTCATGGAACTGCAGAACAGATGGATGACGTAATCAAAGGAACGAGTTAAAGGCAGAAAAATTAATTAAAAAATTTTTCTCCTCGAACTGGACTCGAACAAGTGATCTACCGCTTTCTAGGCGGACTCTCTACCAACTGAGCTACAGAGGTATGAAGAAATTGCCGACGAAATGTTCTCTATATTGCTTTATACTGTAATCCACATGATTACTAAGTATTTGTTTACATTGACTGCTACATACAATCTACTATTGAAACACACAATCACAAGAAATATATATTAAAAGGTATTGTGCCTATTACACTAATTATATTATGAATTTACTAATACAACATTATAGTTGTAAAATTAATAAGTAATGTGCTTATTACACTAATAATTTTACCTTAATGGAAATTTCTTCATGCAACTGCAGAACAGATTGATGACGTAATCAAAGGAACGAGTTAAAGGCAGAAAATTAAACTGTTACTCTCTTCTAGGATCCAGGCCTGTATCGCTGTCAGCCGTGGTTTCACACGCACAAAAATAAATTTTTTCAGTTTTTATAGTCGAGGACCAAACATTGGCAGAACAAAAATTATTACATATAAAAACTCGAAAAAGAATAATTTACTCTCTGTAAATTATCAATACTATAAATTATCTGTGAATTATGGAGTGTAATAAATAATCATAAAGTTCTCCTTCTTTTTTGTTTACGCCTTTTAATCTTTTTTTAAGAACTACTTCAAGAATTTTATTGGTCTATACACCTCTTTTGACATTTTCAGACTATTGTATTTACAAATATTTATCAAAATAATTCAAATAGAAAAAAAATAGAAACTGATTCTTTGATAATAAGAAATTTCTGTAACTTTTCAAAATATCTAGTGGCAGTTCCTATACATAACAGCAAAAGTCTACTTGCACTTGAAGAAATTCAATTTATGTTCATATAATTTTAAAAAAACATAAAGTAAACTCAAAAGCATATTCATAAATTGTTGAATGCATTACGAATTGATAGGAGCCATATAATTTGAATTTTGAAAAAATGAAAGCTAGAAATAAGGAGTTATCTGTAGAATTGATTTACCAAACATCATATGGTTGGTAATTCTTTAGGCGAAATAGCAAAAAAAAAATTTTTCTACTAGGTGAAAAATCTCGAAAGACGAAGAAGGACGGCGCTATCTGGCTTTTTCCTCCGACAGTGGGGGAGCGTGACTCATACCCTAAAACATCACCTAAAGCCTGAACGGATAAAACTGTTGCTACAGACCAACTATTACCTCTGCGTTTGCTTAATTTTTCCGTACAGGAATGAAATACCTTCTATAAGCAAATTGGTATTTTGTGTTAAATCGAAAGGTCTTTTCCGTTT